GCCGGACGCCAATTTCAGCCACGGCTCAGAGTACTGCGCTTCGGGCTTCAAAGGCCCCGAGTGCCAGCTCTGCGCCGCAGAGAACCAGTACCTCGTCGATGGCGTCAACTGCAAGGAGTGCGCTCCGCGCGGCGCGGCGGCGGGCCGCATCGCCGGCCTCGTCCTCGGCCTCTGCGTCGCGTGCGGCTTGGCGGCGTGGGCCTACCACATGCCGTGGCGGAAGGAGCGCATCATCGGGCCTATCCTCCGCTTTGCAGACCGCTCCGTCAAGTACTACGTCGGGGGCGGAATGACGGCAAAGCTCAAGATCCTGTTTGGCTTCTATCAGATCAGCACCGTCCTCTCCTCCACCTACTCCGCGCGGCTGCCGGACAAGTACACGGGCTGGACGGACAACTTGGCCAACGTGATCTCCGTCGACTGGTCTGGCTTTTTCCTGCCGGAGCAGTGCCTCGGCTACGCTCTGCGGCTCCTCGCCATCGCCCTCTCCCCCGTCGCCCTCATCGCCTTGCTCATGATCGCGGGGATAAGTCTGCGGCTCTACCGCTGGAGCGCCGCCCCGGCGCCGCGCGAGAGGCCGTGGTACGCGGAGGCGGCCCTCGGCCTCCTCGACCTCACGCCGGCGGGCCTGGTGCTCATCTTCTGCTTCGTGCCCTCCATCAGCGCCTCCATCTTCCGCTCCTGGTCGTGCCAGGCGCCCTCTCACAGCTGATGACTGCCGTTGCTCACAACCCCACACCCCTCAGTCCTCGTAAGTTTCTGCTGATAGGCCTACACCATCTCTCCGCCCGGCGAGGAGCTAGAGCAGGTCTCCTACATGCGGCAGGACGCGAGCGTCGAGTGCGGCTCCGACGATCACGGACCCATCACCGCCCTCGCCACCGGCTTCATCGTCCTCTGGCCCGCCGGCTCGCTGGTCCTCTTCACGTCGCTCCTCGCCGCTTGCTACAAGCCGCTGCAGGCCAAGACGCCGAATGCTCTGACGCGGGCCACCGCCTTCCTTCACCGGGAGTACGAGACGACCTGGTACTGGTGGGAGGCGGTCGAGCTGGCGCGCAAGCTCGTGCTGACTGGCTTCGTGCTTCTAATACCGGAGGAGCGCGCCTTTGTTCGCCTCGTGGTGGCGACGCTCATCTGCTCATGCTACGCCGTCGCACTCGCCGTCGTGCGGCCGTACAAGCGGGTCGAGGACAACGTGCTCGCCGTCGCCACGAGCCTCGTGCTCCTCCTCCTCTTCCTCGGCACCAACTGGAGCACCATCTTCCTCGGCATCCAGGAGCGGTACCAGGGAGCAGATCCCGCCGATGTCCTCGGCTTCCGCAGCCTCAATGTGATTGTCGACTCGATGATCATCCTCGTTGCAGTCGTGCTCGCCTTCTTCCTCGTCGGCGCCATCGTCGCCGCCCGTCGCGTCGCCAAGATCCCCACGATCCGACTCGTCTCGACCAAGCAGCCCCCCGAGCTGAGCATCGTGAGGGGCCTCACGTGGCACCTCTTCAACAGCCACATCTGGTGAGTCACGGCTATGGAGGGAGAGAGGGAGCGAAAACAGCCGGCGTGACCCCCGCCCCTCACCCAAACGAATAGGTCGACCGGTCAAGACGCCGTCAAGGTCATCAAGGGTGAGCTCGAGCAGCTGCTGCCGGACATCAAAGTCTTTCTCGACGCGCGCACATGCTCATCAGCGCTGCTTAAGCTACACACAGAGCCCCCCTGACGCACCGCGGTGTGCTCATAGGTAGATGATCTCAAGGATATCGGGGCGCTGGAGGAGTACATCCAGAGCTCGCAGGTCATCCTCTTCTTCCTCTCGCAGGGCTACTTCCGCTCCAAGGCTCGCCTCTTCCTCCCACCCCGCCCCTCTACCGCACCCTGGGGCCCCAAGAACTGCCGCCTCGCCCGCGCCACAGAACTGCCTCCGAGAGGTCCGCTCGTCGCTCGAGAAGGACAAGCCGCTCGTCCTCGTCCAAGAAGCGGACCCTGAAAAGGGCGGCGGGACGCTCCAGGCGCTGCGCGACGAGTGCCCCGAGGACCTGCAGCCGGCCATCTTTGACAACGACTGGCCGCTCACGATTTGGTATCGCATCGATGAGTTTCAGCTCATCTCGCTCAAGATCATCGCCGAGGCGCCGCCGGCCACAGCCAGCTCCGTTCTCTCACTCTACCTCCCGGCCAACCCCACTTGAACCAACCTAGGCGGTGCTCCTCTGCTCGCCCAACTTTCTGGACAGGACCTCCCTTCCGCTCTGCGTGTCGGGTGAGCTCGAGAGCCAGTCGCTCGCCTTTTCCAAACCGTGCACGCTCTGGGCCTCGCCAGCCAACGCGGGGTCGCTGGCGCTGGCCGATGAGATCGCCGCCGCCTTTGCCCCAGATCGTGAGACCGCCGGTCTCACGATCTGCGCCACCGGCGTGTGCAACTGCGGCTCAACCCGCCGCTCTCGCCGCCGTCGCAAGCTCCTCTTCAGCAAGATCCCGGCTTCTGCGCCGTGCTTCTGCGCATACCCGTAGGCGTCGTCTGCACAGCAAACTCCGCCGTAGCTCCGCCGCAAGAGACAATGCGCAAAGAATACGCGAGAGAATGGCAGAAGCATGCGCCGCGCTCGCCCCCCACTGGCGTGCTGCCCGTGGCGGTGCGGTGACGTCGCTGCGGACACGAGACGCTCGCGCGGGCTGGTGATCGGAACCGTTGGTGCCGTGACCTCCGCAGCCTCAGGTCTCACACTCCATCACCTCTGACGGGACGCCTTCGGTGGCACGCTCGGCGGCGACTTTGTTGCAGCCCCACAGCGAGCGCGGCGTCGAGCCTATTCGGTCTGGTCGGTCGGCCGCACTCACTGGGTGCCAGGGAGTGCGGCCGACACGCGAGCGGTGCTTCCTGGCAGCGCGCGCCGGCTGTGCCTGTGGGGCTGCAACAAACTCGAGACACACGCTCTTTTTGGGACGGATTTTCGACGCTTTTGTCCTATATACTCGTGCAACAACCCACGCTTTTGCGAAGGACATAAGGTAAGGTAAGCAGCTAAAATTTACCGTAAGGTTAAGGCCAAGCGCAGCCAGAGACACATGCGCATCTATCTCGCATGCGTTGGCATGCCATGTGCACACCCATGCTACTCGAATGCATGCCCCCTCCAACACTCGAGAGCCGGTGGGATGGCCGTGGGGCGCGTCCGACTTTGATGCCCTCGAAGGTCCAATGCGCAATCGTTCTGTGAGACCCACGCGTACAGGAAAGGGGGCGGAGACGCGCCATTCAGCTGGTACCTTTTTTGGGACCCATCGCTCCCGCGTTCCAAACAGCGTGTGTGGACAGCCATTCCCCGTGATTGAAGGTTTGAAGGGGCCTGTTTATCCACTTGATGGAGGGTTGAGGCCTCTGTCAACCACGTTGGTTGACAGTTGGAGGCAATTGGGCCTTCAAACCACCGC